AACATTTATGAAATGTCTATACCTCAGTCATCCTTGAGTGTGTATGAGCTTTTCATTTGCATAGGACATCACTGGCAATCTCTCATTTAGACATGTCAAGAATAAGTGGAGTTAGACTAATGAAGATGTGCTTATTGATATAGTGGTATTAAACGTTGTAAAATCATCAGTCACAAATGAAATTCTCACTTGCTGTGTAGAATAATGATGCAAGGTAGCTCAGCTCTTTAATCTCTGGCACTTGTATATAATGTCTTTGAAACTTTTGCCATTAATATAAAGGAGGTTGGGAGATTCTGACAACGGCTTCTAATAATTTCCTATCTGGCAAATGGCATGCATAAGAAAATTTATACAAAATAATGCAGCATACAGAGCGCAACAGTGAAAGTTCGTTTTTTTAGTACCTTGGTACTGGAAGTATTTTACCCCATTTATTTTCTTCATAAGCATTAAAAAAATTCATGAAGAGTTTTAAGCCTTCAACAAACCAGCTTTGAGATGATTTAAATCATTACATAATTTGCATTTTTCAGATTTGTTTACTTATGGCTTTAAAAATTTTAAGTACACTGTTAGTGTACAGTGGGTATAGAAAACAATCAACATCTTTAAAATAATTACAATTTGCTTTAGCCAATTAGCCAATGTAGACATTTGAGATCACCAAAACAAACATGCCCCTACCCCAAAAGGGTCTAGCCCCTATTTTGATAGCTCTGCCCCACACATGCTCTATTCACACTGCGTCTGTAATTTAAATGTACCAGGTACAAAAACAGCTAGACCGTGTGTCCAAAGAATTCCATCTCTCACATATGCACACAGACCAACAAAAGAAATAAAAAAAGTGCAGACAGAATGCAAAAATGTGTGAACAGCCCCTAATCTACCTCAGACAGACTGACAAACTCTATTGCAAAATAAATTTCTGTCAACTGAAAGCCAATGATGTTCAATGATATGAAAAAAAGAAACGATATACAGACCTCTAAACCAGCATTTTGTAATGTCTATTCAATGCTTTACTCATCTACCATAATGAATGGAATGCTTAAAATTATCTTTAAGGGATTTTTCAACAAATATGCAATGAATAATACAGTATAATTCAATATATTTTTTTGAATGAACTTTTATTTAGCAAGGATGCATTAAATTGATTAAAAGTGAAAGTTACATTGTTACGAAAGATTTCTATTTGAAATAAATGCTGTTCTTTAGAATTTTCTATTCAAAGAATCACATTTTTTTTAATTTTACAATTAATCCGCAAAAACAGATTTCCACGCTGATAAGAAGAAATGTTTCTTGTGTACCAAATCAGCATACTACAACAATTTCTGAAGGATCATGAGACACTGCAGACTGGAGTAATGACTGCTGAAATTTCAGCTTTGCCATCACAGAAAATCATTACATTTAAAATATTAAAAAAAGAAAATGATTATTTTAAATTGTATTAATATTTCAAAATATGAAATATTTTCAGTTTTTTACTGTAAAAATCTTTCAGACCCCAAACTCTCAAATGGTAGTGTAATATAATACTAAGAGTAGAGTAGAATAGAATAGAATAGAATAGAATAGAATAATGACATGTTATTATTCTGAACATCTAAACTGACCTTCCTCACATACGTAGGTGATATTCTTTCTATTCTCTACTTCCCCACATTTCAGTGTGTTTCTGGCTCGGCTGTAGTACACCAAGGTTCACATCCCCTGAGCAAACCTTCCCTCAGAAGCCTGAAATCAGTACAGATTAAGAATCTCAGAGATGCATTTCACTTATTTCCACAGCAATGCCAAACTGGAAAATATTACACTTTTCCCATTTTAGGCACCACTTTCACAGATTTCTTAAAGCTTCTTAGCAGAGCTGTAAACGGCACATTTCCAGAGGATGTTAATGGCTTTTATATGTTTTGTGTGCGGAATATGTCCTTTCTGACTCAGATTTATGAAGCCATCGATTCCTCTGGCAGACTACCTGCTGGCTTGTATGCTAATAGACTGAATCTGCACATAAAGCCCTGTTGTGCTGATCTATAGCACATTTGTCTGCTGGTGCAGATATACTGTCCACATGCAGCTGATAGACGAGCATGTCGATTACCTTTGTTATAAATAAAACACAACTACATGCAGTAACTAATATTTGATCAATACCTGCTGGAAACGAGGCCAACTGATGCATGGTGCCAATAATTAAACAAATTACAGTCTTAATAACCTCCCCTGGCAATAAGTGTCAATATCTTAAATTCAGCTTCAACACAGCCATCTTATTATGTTCTTATGCATCCAATCGTTATCAAAGTGGAGGAAATCAGAGACTAAACACACCGTGAGGGTCTGACAGAAACAACCCAGGTAAAATGTGCTCTTCGGTTTCTCCTACTCGAATCCTAACTCATGACTCATCTGAAGTGAAGTTGGATTACATCAGAAAAGACAAGCACTATCACAGGTACAAGATCCACTGTCAGTGTTCTGAAAATCATTATAAATCCTGAGCGTGTGAATGCATAAATCAACCTAACAATCTCTTCAACTGCCACATGTTTGGAAAAGAGTCATTAATGGACAGCTAGCACTTCTGCCAAACCACGTAAGCAGTATTTAACAACCAATTGTGCATGCAATTCACCGAAAAGTTAATGTAGCATGAAGGAATGTCACACATACAGTGCTGCCTATTCCAAATGGGATTTCTGACACATTCCGGGGCTGTGAGCTATTCTCACTCCCACAAAGCATCCAAGAACCACCACACACTCAAAAAATACCTACCTTTATTTTGTATTTGTTTGAAAAGCCTACCTCAAGGGTGTCCAAACTCCAGCCCATAGGTCATTTGCAGCCCACCACCTGTTCTGTTGCAGCCAGCAAAATAGAGCTTTAAAATAGAACAGAATTTAGAATTATAATCTGAACACTAGGTGTACAACCAAATCTCACAATGAATCACCTCCACTAGTGTCTTCTCTTCGAAAGCTCAAGATTGCAGTGACAACCACCTGAGTACTAAAAGAAATTTGGAAAACTCTAAAAATCCACTGAAGGGACAAATAAAAAGAATGGCATGCAAGTACTGCCATACTGTGCCCATGTTCTCACTCATTAGTGTTTCGATCCAAAAACCTAAATAAATGAAAAAGAACAACCCACACTTCATGCATGCCTGTGCTGCTGTGCACACAGATATTCAAGTTTATCGATCACACTTTCCTGGAATATCCTCTCTCACAAGTACTGCTGGTAAGTTTAAGCATGAATTGGTAGGTTTCATTGAAAAATAAAAATGATTAATGTAGACTTCGCAATGCTACTTGAGAGTAAGGACACGCAGGAGAGGGTACTAAAACTGTCTTTTTATTAAGAAAAAAAAAATATATACTGCAATTCAACAGTTGGAAGTAGGTAAGACTTCTTAATGTTTTTGAAAGAAGTCTCTTCTGCTCAGCATTTATTTAATAAAGCTGGAACAATTTAAAATAACAGTTTTCCAATTGAATGTTAAAATATATAAAATAAATATATAATATATAACATATACAATTTATATATACTGTATACAGTGGGTATAGAAAATAATATCTCCCTTTTAAAATAATCACATTTTGTTGCTTTGCAGCCTGAAATGGTTTGTGGACTGCAGTCTTCAAGTCATTTTCAGTGGAGTTTAAGTCTGGGCTCTGACTAGGCCATGCAAGGACATTCACATTTTTT